CGCGGAAATTATCGAATGCAACATCTACGTTGCTCTTTCCTATCATCTCTTCTTGCAGAACCACAATGTTGTTCGGTTTCGCAATAGATACACGCAGGACACGCGAATAAACTCGATGACAAATAAATTTTCTATGGATAATAAAGTTGCAACAACAAGAATCAAATTAATCAAATATTTGATTAGTTGCGCAATCGAATAATTTCATTCATTTAATCATATAAAAAATATTCACAGTAACCATAGATTTTGATTGAAGATAATCAAGTATTTCAAATCACAATATGCAATTTAATTTAACGATAATAATTAATTGCAATTAATAATATTCGAAGTATCCAATAAGATTAGGTTGATTATAATTCATGGTACGTTAAATGAATTGTGACACCATAACCGTTGCAACTTCGTTAACAGGAGTCACTGTTAATTAATTTGAGTACCGACTTAAGTGTAGAACACTGTTAACTCTAAGTATCAAAGTTCACTCAAATTTGAATCTTATGAAATGAGGTTAAATCATAGAATTTTACGAAGATTCAAATGTTTATCGTAACAATTAAATCTTATTAAAATTCTTACTATAATTAAAATATTTAAGCCAATTTCTATTATCTTCTATCGTCAGATATTTGTTGTGTTATTTTTTTTATTTTTTTTTTATGTATTTTCCTCGATGTATCTGATTTCGCATTGAACGACACTATTTATCAACGTGCAACGTCGATTGCAACGGGTTCCACTCTCGCCTGGAATGACTACTGCAAGCTAAAGATAAATCAATTTCGATAATTGCGCGAGATATGGGATCGTTCATCGAACGATTGGTCGTTCGTTATAAGCGAGTTTATATGCTAGAGAGGATTTCTCTTCATTTTTTCCTCTTTTTTCTCTCTTTATTTTGTTTAAAATGTTTCCTATTATTTTTCATTTTTTTTTATATTTTTAATTAATTTTCTCTATTTTTAATAAACACAAAGTCTGACAATATTTTTTACATTTTCTTTCACATCCATCAACGCATCCATTGCAGATGGTCTACGTCATTACGATTTAACTACTCATACATATATTTCTTTCCACTTGATCTGTGTATATGTGTGTATGTGTGTGTATGTGTGTGTATGCCATCGATATATCCAACGTCAGAGTAGAAAACTTTTGTGTAAATTTTAATCGATGCTTAGGATTTATCCTTCCCTTTTTTTATTTTTTTTTATTTTTAACAGAAACGTCTCGTATATTTCAATCATATTTCTCACGTTTATCGTTCGTTAATTTTACGAGACACATATTAATTGCTTTTCAAACACATAGGACAAATTTAACAGAAAACCAATCAATTTCGTTGACGGCTTGCATTATTCTATTTTCTATATTTATTTTTTTTATTGTCTCCTCTTTCGTTTTAATTATTTTTTCTTTTTTTCTTTAAAGTATGTGCAAATGTTATTCCTCATTATTACGGATCATCCATTATTTTGGTTCAATAACATCATTCAACGCTAATTCACTACCACTCGACAGAAAAATGTTAAAGCCTTTGTTCAAATGATTTTCGCTTAGATTTTCTGCCATGCTTCTTATATTCTTGATACAAGTTGCAACTTACGTAGACATTTGTAAACTTGTACCATGAACCGCAATAATGTCTCACGAGAATGAACGGTACTGGTTAACTTTCACTATTTTACCTCCGATTCAACCTTTTGTAGGTTTCACAAATTTTATATGTTTACATATCATCATCATCATCATCATCATCATCCATACATTTCTCATTTTATTTTTATATTCCTTTCACATTTGTATGTTGACACAAATTCTCTGATCCAAATTTATCGTTTAATTGATTTTTCTTTTTATGCCAACAAATTCAGCATTGCTCATCGAACTAAATTTGTTTCAAACAATTGGCGAGAATTTTTTAAGTAACCGTAGAATTTTTTAAATTAAAGGTTGTCTGAAAAAGTTTTATCAATTAAAATGAAAAATTGTATAATATTATACATTTTAAAAATAAAAATCGATTCGAGTTGTTAATGGATAATTCGATATTGTGAAACGAATCAAAGATTCTATTGGAAAAAATCGTATGATTAATCTATTAATCTGTAATAAAGGTAAACGCGAACAGGAAGACAAACGTAACGTGTTAAGTGAATTTCAATCCTTTCGTGCTGCACATAATGCATACATGCATACATACATCGTCTTATTTCGTTCCACTTTGGTGCAAAGTGCGTTTAACATGCAGAGCTCTATTGTTAGTAAGACCTCGATAATTGAATCGATCAACGAGTATACACTTTCAAACACTCTCATAAACCATATATACACATAAATGAGACAGTACTATAATATTCTTTGAAACAATTTCGACATATATTATTATATATCGACTTCTAACGAATTTATGAAAATAATTAACGCACTATAGATGCTATTGAATTTGTTCATTTTTCTTGTTAAATTTATTATACAACGAATTTGTATGATAATTTTATCGAAGTTATTTCGTACATTTTTTTCAAATAATATTTAAAGACAATTGAAAAGTTGTCGAGCGTAACATCAATGCCTGGTCGACGTGTTTTATCATCGTCAATCCTGACGTGCATTGAAATCACGAGATTTCTATTTCTATCGCGGAAGAAAATCGTTTAATTGTGCAACGTTGTTTCAAGTCTTGCGACTGGAAACGTGATCGACGAATTCGCCGGACTAGAAATAATTTACGTGAAAGTATATTTATAATTGAATAGAGAATAAGAGATAAAGAGAAAGAGTGAGAGAAAGATTAGTTGGTTGAAAATGATGGTTCAGTTCACCCTCACGATCACCTTGAATTAATAAAAAGAATTCCGAATGAACGGAATGAACGTTTGGAGAGATGATTTTTTTCTTTCTAGATGTAATTATTTCTGTAAGAAGATACACGAAACTTTTGATAAGATCTTGATAAGATCTCGATGTTGCAGCGATAAGGTAAAACTTGTAATAAAGAAGACTTTAGAACGGAATATCTCATTGGAAAGTTTATCTACTATCACGATTTCTCGTTGATTGAACGAGAAAGGTTTTTTAGATAATTATTCGAGAATAATTATTTCTCTTAACGTCTCGGATAGACGTTTCATTCTCTTTCAAGGTTTCTAAAAGATGTATAGAGAAAGTTATTGAAATGATTGAAACAATTAATAGAAAATTAAAATGTTTAATTTATTTAATAATGACTTATAATTAATCGTAAAGTAAATGTAAGTAAATTTTTGTGCAGTGTGAATTTTTTTCTTTAGAAAAGTTTTATTAATATCAATACAAATTTTTGGTATATGTAAGATATATATCTGAACTATATTCACAATTTTTTTTGTGTAAAAATATTGTAAATTGTGTTGTCTATGGCCACTTTTCTAAGAGTCCAAAAAAAAAAGGTGATTTTCGGTGGCCCTCACTGGCAAAAATTGGTTCATCATAAACAAAAAAACTGAGTGTTATCCTTTAGTAGAGATGTTGGCGCAGGAAATGAACGAAAGGAAAATTTGATTTTTTAATTTTAAAACAGTCGACTTTTTGCGAAAAAATTGACATTTTTGCAGAAAAATCGCCGAGTTTTTGAAGAAAAAAAAAATTGGCATTTTTTCGAAAAATCCTTTCGTTCATTCCCTAGATATGTGTATCTAGTATTACTGTACAAAATTTGGTAAGGATCGGATAAATGGTCTGGACGCAGCGAGGGCCACCGTTTTAAAAACGCGAATAGGAGAAATTAACGTTTAAAGTTTTGGTAACTTACTTGGAGCGCTACGGCGCGCTCCGTTTAAACTACTACAGTTTCGTAAATAATGCGTGAATCTTTACCAAAATTTGAAGAAATATTTTTGAAATAATATTCTTTCAGAAAATCGAAAAAAAAATCGATTTTTTTGTTGACGTGTCCCCTTAGGCTAATGTAAGATAAAACAAATTGTAGTTAATAAAATATATCAAATTTATTTCATAGTTATTATTATTCAAAAATAATTTAAGTAAAATTTTGTTTGATTTAAATTGTTGCAAAATTACCATAATTTTATTTACTTAATTTAAGTTAAAAGAAAACATATTACTATCAATAAAAAATGAACAACTTGTTTACTAATTTATTATTATTAGCTGAAAATAAAAATTGTGAGTAAATTATCGTGAATGTAAATTATTGATAACTCATGAAAAGGTTTGATATATTTAATTGACGTAGCAAAACTTTCATCTCCTGTTTTATATATATATATATATATATTACTTTTTATTCTCGATCGAACTTGACTGGTTTCACAAATTCACCGGCAAGTTTTTGCTAACGTTACGTAAAGTATCGGTAGACCTATCAAGCCGATAAAAATGTTCCTACGAACGTATAAACGCCCGAGTTGTTTCTATAAGTCTCCTATATACAGTTGAATCCCTCGTAAAAATCAACCGGGAAGAAAAGAAAGAAACATAAAACTTGTTACGGGAAAGCTGCATCTTACGATCGAGTAACCGTTTACCCACATTTGCTATCTCTCTCTTTCTCTCTATCTATCTCTTTCGTTTTATCTATGTAAACATAAAAAGATCCTATATTTCTCACACCATAAAATAATCAAACGTGGGAGTTTCTATTTTGTTTATACTACCGATCAAAAGAAAAAAAAAAAGAAGAAGAAAAATAAAATGATCCCCTTATTTGATCTTTCCAAAGTTTATTTTAAAATAATCTTCAAGAAATGTCTTAAGTTCCTTTTTTCCAATGTTAAAAAATTAGATTTCATTAAACATTAGTGGAAAGATTTATAATAGACGATATAATATTTATTTGAACTTTCAAATTTTTTTTGTTATAATAACAGCTATCTTTTTTGTTTTCTTTTCTTTCCTTCCAAATATACGTAATTGTTCATAAATGAACTATTGTTCCTAATTTGAACAGTATAAAAAGGGAAAAGATTATGGCAATTTAATCAAAAACTCACTTAATGACGGTTTGCTTCATACTGTTGGTCATCTTCTCGTTGATTACAATGAAGCCCCTTTTTCTTCTTCTTCTTCTTCTTCTTCCTGAATCTTCTCAAATATAATATTTGACTGTCTTTCACCAACAAATCTAACGTTTATCTGACGAGAGTTCACTAGTTACACGATATAAACACACACCGAAGAAAAACAAGTTTGTAGTCCTTTATTTACAATATTCATCGGAGAGATTGGAATGGAAGTATTAAGGTGTTTATATTTTTTTTTTGTCTATTTTTAAAGTTATACTTCGAGAGAATATCTCCCCTCTCTCTCTATCTGTTTTTCTCGTTCTTTTTCTCTTATATTTCCTTTCTTTACCTAGTCGAGTCCGGAAACACATATATATGTGTATGTGTGTGTGTGTAACGATTTGGAGTGTGGCGCCGGACTGAACGGGCGCGCGCGATTCTCCTCGTATTTAAACGCCCTCTCCCTACCTCTCTGATCCTCTCTCAGTCAGTCTCTCCTTCCTAGCGCCACAGAGTTTCAACTACTCTCCTTTTTCTTTTTATATATCACCAATTTTCTCTCTCTCTCTCTCTCTCTCTCTTTTTCTTTTTTGTCTTTCTCTTATTTTTTTATGATTCTGTCGCTCATTTTTTTCATCTCCCTTTTTCTTTCTCTTTTTCCAATTCTTTTTTTCTTGGCTTTCTCTCTCACCCTCCCTTCCGCTCTCTCTCTCTCTCTCTCTTATTTTTTTGACTGTGCCTCTTTCCTGTTTTATTGGCCTGTTTCTCTCATTTCTGATCTCTCTTTCTCCCTTTCTCTGTTATTTGTTGTTATTCTCTCTTCTTGCTCTCTCCTTCTCTCTCTTTCTCTCTCTTTCTCTCATTATTCCTGTTTTTCAGATATATTTTATTGACTTTCTCTTTCTCTTTTTCGTTGTTTATCTATTTTCCTGGATATTTTTCTATTTTTCTACCTTCTTCTTTCCCATTTTTTATCTCCTCTCTCTCTCTCTTTCTTTTTATTTGACCGTTTTCCCTCTCTTTTACCTAATATCCTTCTTCTATTGTTCTGTTTTCCTTTCTTTTCCCCTAATTTTCGTGTTCTTTCTTTATTTTCTATTCTTCTATTTTCTTCTCTTTATTCTTTTTCTAATTATCTTTTCTATTGTGTTTTCTTGATATTTTTCTTGTTCTATTTCTTTCTTAATTTTTCCCGTTACTTTACGTGATACTTTCAACGGGGAAAAGGTATGGTCAATCAAAATTATATCAACAGTATTAAATCTTATCCTTGATACAATATAGATACATGTGCATTGACCCTTTCTATTCTACTAACAATATCCTTCGTATTATTACGCAAAACTTGATCATTTCCTTTCTTTTCAACTATAAACGTTTCATTCTAGTTCAATCTTAATCAACTATAACATTAATGTATTCATTCGAACAAAGCAAATTTTTCTTAATTTCCATTTATAACATTTTTTTTTTTATGTTATGACTTAACCGATTTTTTATTTTCATATCACCATTTTAATTAATTTCTAAAAGATGATTATTATATTACTGAATAGGAACTTAGAAAGTCAACTGTAGTTTTACGGAGTTGTAACAAAGATAAAACGTTCGAAGGCTTTACAAGAAAAGAGAGAAAACTGGTTTCTACCGGTTGCGTTACAGGATAAATCGATCAATCGGCCATCCATGGAGATCCTTCGTTCTTTCTCATTAATTACGCATATACGATTAACTAGTTGAACAACGATCAAATAGCATGACGTGAAAATCTTTGATGTTTCTTATTACTCTTTTTCTTGTACTAATTTTCCCGGATTTTTTATCCTTTATATTTTTATTTAATTTTATAATGCACAAAAACAACTTAAAAATCTGTAAACTAACACTCGGTAAGGTTTAAGACGATACGATCAGGATATTAATTAGAAACAAAGTGTGGAAATATGACGATTATATTAAACCGTTGAATACTATGATTTATTGCATTAATTTACATAAGAATATAAATTAACTCGATTGTTATTACCAATTCTTGGAAATGATCAATAAATTATTAGTTTTGTTCTTCCGGTACATTATTTGTTAGAAGGACGAACAAACGACACGTGTCTAACTTCTATTCGAATATAATACTAATTTATCCCGATTGAATGGATTTTATGTTAATGAAATATTATTCCTAACATCGAATGAATGAATGAATGAATGAATTACAAAAGCTTTCGATGCGTAAATTTGACCGAGTTTCATAAAGTTTTGACAAATCAACGCTGACACTGTTATTATGGTTTGTAAGTTTTCAGAGCATTGTGCAGAAACTTTTCAACTTACTGTCCTAGAAACATAGCTTTGATGGTACGAAGACTGTTCTACTTAAATGTTACAACTTACAATGCTTATTTTTGGACAATGTAAGATTTACTCAAGAAAATACGTGTGCTTCTTCTTATTATTATTTTTATTTAACGTTAAATCTTCCAAGAAATGTTTAATTAATTTCGTAATTGTTGTCTATCGTATGAAAAGTGTGTGTATAACTTATATATTATATAACTTATATAATTGTTTTAACTCTCATGGTATAACAAAAACAAAATTATTATATTTATAAATCATGAATTATTCATTTTTAAAATTGTGAAATAAAATTGCTGACGTAGAATCAACGTCACGATGATTATCGTTATTTTTTCAAATATTTTTTCACCGTTCGGTGTAGAAGAAACTTTAAACGTTTTGCCGAAAAATATGTTTTCGTTGGAATGTTGGAAGAAACGAAAAGGAATATGACGAAGTCTACTTGTTGCAATAATTCATTTAAGTCTTTGTGGTTTTACAATTGAAAGATTGCTTAGTGGGGAAAAAACCAGGCTGTTTCTAATCTGACTCAGAAAACTATGAAAATGTTTCTTTTTCTTTTACAATAGAATCATCAAAGATAATAAAAATTGGAGTTTAGCATTGTACCATTATTTCTATGATCTTTTGTTCAAAAGATATTTTATTTATTCTAGAAAAAAAGAAAAAAAATTATAATTAAATTTAATTAATTATTTTAAATGTAAAATTACGTTATAAAATATATATGTATTTATTTTATAGAATATAATATATTATAATATATTTTACATTATATGTAAATATATATTCATTACATAATATGTAAATGTGTATACATTATAATATTATTATATATTATGTAATATAATTTGTGTTATAAAATATTGTTATTATTATTATAAAATTATTTATTGCTTTTTAAAAATTATATTTTTTATTGTAATCAATCATTTTATTATTTATAATAAATTTAATAATATTACGGAGCAAACAATGTAAAACATTTGATCTTCTCGAATGTTTTAATAGGTCAATAATACGTTGAGAAAGATTGCGTATAAATTTTTTTCTTTTTTCTTTTCCCAATGACATATAAAATAAAGCCAAGCAATCCCACCGACTTTCAAGATCGCGTTCGACGATCTCTTCTCACGATCGAGTCCGGTCATCCGTTCGACCTTCACCTTCTTTTTTTATGCGTGGAAACTTGCGACTTATCTTAAACGGCAAGAGATACCTTCCACCGGTACGCAAAAAACAACTCATCTACGTCGAGGACGATGACCAAGGACAAATAAAAATGAATAAATATTTACTACGTTAGGTGAATGCTTTATCGGTATTCCATTATCTTTTCATTTTTTTTCTAATTTATTTCTATTTATAAATGCATACTAATGCCAGGTGAACATATATAAATTTTTGTTTTATCATCCAATCTTCTAATATTTGCTAAATAATTTTCTTTTTCATATTTGTTAAGTGTTTTCAATATTTTCAAATCAGAATTGTAGAATTGTGTATGGTGAAAAAAATTGAATCTGATCTAATTGGACAGGGAGATTGAAACATAGGTTTTCTGTATTTTTTTTTTGTCAAGCAATTGTTTTATCAATTTAGCTGGAGTTTGTTTGTTAAATAAATTTGTTTCACTTTTGCATGAAAATACGAATAAACTTTTTACTTGACCCAATTTTGTATAAATATAATGACAAGTTTTTGAAGAAACTTTTCTGGTTTTTTTTTTCCCCTAATCGATTGTATTTAATTTAGTAAAATCAATAGAATCCTATCAAATTTTATCTGCAATCTGTCATACGTAATTTAAGTTAGAATTCATCTCTGTCGTTTTTCATCTGCACAGGACAATTCGATAATATTTAAAAATTCAAACCAATAAATTTCTCGGCTGAAAAAAAATGTCAACGAGGTCGATGAACTTCGACGAATAAGTATATTAACATTTGATAAAGAAAATCTTATTGAATTTATCCAAAGATAATCTCGATGAACACTCACGTAATTACGAAATAAAAATATTTAAAGGTAACTGATTGTTCGTTCAACAAGGATAAAATATTTTTCAATAATTTCGTAAATATATTAATGGTTTATATTATGTCGAAATTCTTAAATAAACAAGTATCATCAAATTTAGTTTTGGAAAGTCTGTTGGTTGATAATAAAAAATATACACATCTCGAGAAAAAAGTTATAACAAGCATAAAAAATGATCTTCTATTTTTCGGTACTGCATAACACGAACTAAACTAGTTGATTGTATAACAAATAAAAAAATAATATTTATAGATTTATTATTTGCAATAAATAATGTGTAACTATGTGCTTGAAGTTTCGAGTCACATGTCAGACATCCCACTCTGATTTATATACTGCATTTATTTTATTAAAGAACTTCACATTTCTTATTGATTTTATAAACACCTATCGTCTAATAATATAAACCGTGTGAATGGATAGTGAAAGAAAAATAGTAAATAGTTATTCGGTCGTTTTAGATGTATTAATTTAATAATCTTTCACGAAATGAGTACGTTATGGGAATAGATAAACATATTAACTGGTTATCAGACTTTTAGTATACTTATTAAAATTGAAATAAGTATTACCATTGCATACAAATGATCGAATAAGATATCCTTAGAAGTTACGATTATGTATGTACTTGTTCGTTCGAGTTCAGTAGGCTACAACTAGTTTGAAGATAACGCGCATCTATGTGAGTCATCTTATTAGATATAGCATTATACTCTGCA